CCCCCTTCGCCCCCCGGTTTTCCTTCAGCCTTTCCCCCAGGAAGGTTGGAGGGATCGCGGCGCGGTACGGAGCGGGGATTTGGAGATGCAGATGTGACATTGCAGCGCGAACGCCGCCCGCGGCAGCAGTTGATCGGGATCTCGGACCGCGTCTTTTATCTCTTTTAGCTCGGAGGAGATTGCCCTCAATAGACCCGCTGTAAAAAGAAAAAGAAAAAGAAAAAAAAAAAAAGAGAGAGAGAGAGATTGCAGTGCTGCCCTTGTGCATCCCACTGCGAGGAGGTCCCGGCGGTCCCTTGGGAAAACCGGGTGTCGCGAGCAGGAACACGAGCGGCCACCGGGCTAATCCGCTCCTCCACCTTCCCGCTAGTACCTCCCCCTTCTGCTGCTTTCTTCAATAGCAGCCCTTTCTCCAAATCTCAGGTTACTTCGCTAAAGAGTTCTCAGCCCTATAGTTTCAGCCCTTGTCTCTGCCTCCAGCTCCTTAAGAGCCACCCAGCCCCAGCGATCGGATTGGGCAGCCCGCCTTGACACACCACTGTGCTGAGTGCTTGAGGACGTGTTTCAACAGATGGTTGGGGTTAGTGTGTGTCATCACACTCGAGTGGGGATTAGGGCAGAGAGGCAGCCCGGCTGGAGCTGTGTGGTCTTCCCCAAGTGGGAGCTGCGAGCAAACGAAGAACCACCTAGCTTTGGGGAAGAAGAGGGAGGAACTCAATCCAGCAGCTCAGAGGGGAAATAAAAACCCCACACTTTATTCAGGTAAAGTAACACGCACCTCCTGCTTTTTTTTTTTTTTTTTTTTTCCCTTTCTTTCTTTCTTCCTTTTTTTTTTTTTTTTTTTCCCTTCTCTCTTTTCCTTTCTCCTTCCCTCGGAGGAATGCTAGCACGGCACACTTGTCAGAGCCAGTTGTGCTGCCTTCTCAGTGCTGCTGTTGTGCGGCTGACAGATAGCAGCTCGCACAGCCCGATGCTCGCTGCCCGCAGAGCTCACGCCCGGGTCCCGCTGCGGAAGGTGCGCGTTGTGAAAGCTGTCCCGGAGCTCTGCTCCTCCCGCACACACGTGCGGACCCCCGGTGCTGCGAGGTCGGGCGGTAGGGGAGTGGGGGGAGAGCTGGATCGCAACTTAGGGTTTGTTCGGCTTGGAGATATTCGAGCAGGGCAGCAGCCCGTCTGAGGCTCAGCTGCGAGGCAGAGTGTTTGGAAAGTGCGTTTGAGATGTCTGTAAAGTTTGAGGAGTCCTTTATAGAGAGCTGGCGGGGGTTTCTCCTGGTCGGTTTGGTTTCCACATGGGCGTAAAGTCGGAAGAAAATCGGGAAAGTAAGGAGAAGGCAGCGCACAGGGTAATGCTGCAGCAGGGCAGATGGATGTAATTCATTTGCAGATTTGTCTGTGGAAGTTTTACAAGTCATTGCAAACTAAGTAGCATCCCTAGAATGGATCATTAAAGTCTCACTGTATGGATTCTTAACAAGCAACCTGCAGTGTTAATTAAATATAAGGGGAAAAAATGATGTTTGAGAAGGGAGAGGGGGAGAAATGCAATGAGAATTTAGTTAGGGAAGCACTCTGCTATCATTTTCATTGAAATTAACTGCTAAGTTCATTGATGTCTGCACAGGGGAAGCCCAGCAACTGAGGCGAGAAGTCAGAAATGCTATCCCTGGACTATGTCAACTTTTAGAGTGTTAGGATGCTCTCGTTGCTTTACTCTGAATTACTAGAGGATGGGCTTTTTGTCTTTTAAGATAAATAATGTACTGTGTCTGTGTCTTCCTGTGCAGAGCAACAACCTGATTTGTTTCTTCGCGCTGTAACAGATCTTCACACTGACTCGCACATACCTGTGTGCCTATGAGTTACTGGCCTCCTACTTGTGAAGGAAATCTCACACTCTCCTCACCGCTTACAGGTGAGATTTTCTATAAATAATGCTGTATATAATGTGTGCTGAAATGAGATCTGTGCAGTAGGCTGAGCAAGGGGATTTATAGCTGGTGCTTTGGGATTTTGGCATTCAGCTGTGTAGCAATGCCCATAAAACCGTGTTTCAAGTTGCACATGGAGTTTTGTCTCAAACCAACTTTTTCTCTTTGGCCCCTTTACAGATTGATCTTAGTCTGTATATTCAGATGCACTCTTTGGTAAGCGAGTAGCCACAGAAGACACCCACAGCAGTTCCAAACAATAATTTAAATCCTTAATGAGGCTGCATGACTAGATCAATACTTATGTGCAAAAAACTTGACCATTTTGATTTTTTTCTCAGTCTACTCGTTATCACTGGAAAAAGTGATGAAAACTTTACAAGCTTCAAAAAAAAAAAAAAAAAAAAAAAAAAACCTGAAAAACAACCAACCAAGCCCCCTCTCTGTGACTCTGCATTAAAGCCTTTTATGCCATGTGCATTGAAACAGCTGTGGTATAATTTCTACAGTATTTCTTCAGGGTGTCTCATACACTACACTTTCCACAGAAGAAAGCATGAAATAAGTCTCTCATTTGAACAGCAGGAACTGTGAATCACTTAAAGAATCTATGACACTCAATTTAGATAAATGATATTGAGTATTCCTTAGCAGAGTCTGTTGTCACAGCACAAGGGGAAGTGATTTCAAACTAAAAGAGTAAAGACTGAATATGGGGAAGAAGATCTTTACAATAAGAGTGAGGTGAGGCCCTGGAGCATGTTGTCTGGAGATGTGGTGGATACCCCATCCCTGGAGACCTTCAAGGTCTGGACAGGACGTTGAGCAACATGATAGAACTCGCTGTTCATTGCAGGAGAGTTGGACTAAGTGGCCTTTAAAGGTTCCTTCCAACTCAAATGATTCTCTGATTTAGTGGCCACAGAAATGGAACTCAGAACTTATCCAAGGTGTCATCAGCTTCTGTAATGGGCTATGCTGACAAGAAAAATGTGCAGCTTTTACTTTATAAATTATTAAAGTTGCAGAAAAATGTTTAAAAAATTGCCCACTATTGTTACTTAAAGGAATGACCGAAGACTGTGGGATGGATGAAGTTGAGGGGAATCAGACATATTACTGGGGCCTGCAAGCACTAATGGTATCATGAGGAATAGTAGATGGTCTTACAGGTCTTATATCTTTGCCTGATGTGGGACAAAAAATGGAAGAAAGACAATGAAAATCTTAAAAGGCCCTGTATCCATATTTCTGGATGTAGCTATGCTTACTCTTTTGAGGGTTACCACCCACTGACTTGACTGCTTTAAGGCATGCTAGTCAAAAATTAAAAAACAGTAGTGCAATAGTAAACAGAACATGCTGTAAATAATCAACACAGGATACCTTTTAACTGTTGCTTTTTCCAAGGACTGCAGAAATACTAATGATAGCAGATTTTAGAGTAGTATTTGGGTTTTGGTAACTTGCTAGCGATAAGAAAGTATGCATTAAGTCAAGCTACTCAGTCATTTTTAGCAAAAATTCCCCTGGTGTCATTCCTCACTATTTTAGTGAATAAAATAGCTGTAACATCTGAATTTGTGAATGTATCCCTCATAAAACACATGAATTTACCTTGGATTGTTGTAATCTATTTTACATCTAGAGCCAATTTATGAACTGAGACTGTAACATTATCTGTTTGGCCACAGTTGTGTAGGATTTAGGGAGACGGTTACCATAGTTAGACCAGTAAAAATGTTCTGAAGCTAACCCATGTTTATCTTCCAGGCATTCCAGTAGTTTCTTTTATCTCTGTATCTGTAGAAAGTCAGCATTTCTTATCTCACTGTAAACTTCAATCTATTGCTGGCATATAGGCTCACAGAGCAAGATTTCCTATACTCTGCTGCTCTGCAAACTCCATTTCTAAAAGCAAAAGGTTGCTGAGTTAGTTTCTTGATCTTCTTGGTATGAAGAATAGAGGAGAATGGAGGAGAATTCTTCTAATGTAGTATAACTGTATCTCAACAAACAGGTCCATGTTACAGGAACTCATTTTAGTGTTGCATTCTGTGGGTACTTTCCATATAAAAAGCTGTCTGTCAAATCCTGTGAATCCTTTTGGGTGTTGCCAGGGTGGACTGGAAAAACTAGGTAAAAGAAGGGCCTGGTTAGCTAGAACTGAAGTCCATGCTGTCTTGGATGTTGTACAAGTATATCATGAGACTGTCCATTTTGACAATGTTAGGGGCACATATTTAAGCCTGGAGAATTCACCACCATTCTGGCAGCTGTGCAGCATGAGTAGCGTGAGAAAACCACGTGTGCTTTGTGTATTTCTCCTTTGGTGTGACATAAAAGAATCATGGATTAGTATCAGAAACCTATGGAGTTGTTGGAGGTAATCACATGCTGAGGAGTCTGAACACATCCCTGTGTGCTGACTGATTCTGTGATCATACTCAGGAGTGTACCACACTGCTGACTTGGTGCTGCTTCTCCCTTGTGCCCTGGTATAGCTGTTTTCTACATTCTCTGCACCAGCAACTCCAGGATGAGTAATGCTTCTCCTGAGAACTGTCTACTTCTCTCCTCTCCTGCTGATTGCTAGTGGAAGTGCATGTACACAGTTCTAGGGTTCTGGTGCAAAGTACAGTGCAGAGCAGCCCTTTAATTTGCCAAAGGAATATTTGCCCTTCAGTCAGAGACAGTTCAGACGCTGAGCAACATGTTTTACATTTATTGCACTAATACTGCTCTACTCCAAAGCCTTAACTGAACACCGGTGCTACCACGACAGCAGAAAAGAAACACAAACGTGGAGCACCAGTGTGTTGAATCTAGTAGCTGTGAGCTATTCACTGGGGTTTTTTAGTATTCAGCCACCTACAGCTGCCAGAACTGCCACTTCCCTAGCCTGCAACAGAAGAATGTGCTGGGCTTTTCAGTTTGGAATTGATCTCAGTAATGCGTCTGGGTATTTATGGGTCCGGGTGTTTTTGAAGTCATACCTTGCTGTCAAACAACTCATCTTTAAAAAAGCTATTGCAGTTAGTTTGGATGAGAGCATAACACTGGGCAGTGCACATCACCAAGAACGCCTCATCTCAGTCTTCCAGACACCTTGCTGAGTCACATCTGGCATGGAATGAGGAGCCCTTGTCTCTGTCCTTATCTTCAAAGCTCTGCGTGGGCCACTCATTGTTTGAAGAAGATTTTGCCCTGCTTTGTCATGAATCATTGGCATCTACACTTCCCTATGTTATTGTATAGTGGAGGATAAAATTTCAAGTGGGCAAAAATTGCCATTCTGAGCCTACAGATAAAAGCATCTCCAATGAGTCTGTATGAATAGGCAACTTCTAAAATAGACAAAGTTGGAATTTGAATCATGGCTGGTAGATCCCTCCAGGGAATATTAACCCAATTTGTCAAGTAGAAGATGGAAGGAAAACCCATACTCTCCCCTTGGTAGTTTGTCAGCTTCTTGCACACTGGATATATTGACTTGAGGTATACCTATTTCTTCTTTCAGAAGATATCCTGAGTGCAAGTGTTGCATAATCAAACACTTCAAGGCATTTACCATGTACTAGATCTTACTGTGTAATACCTACCTTTTAGCTGCTGTAATGAACATGGGTAGCTGATAGTTTTAAAGAGGAACTAGTCTGTTTTATCGGTAATTTGGAGCTACAGCTAAATACCTTGATTTCAGTCCTACTTTTTTGTAGTGCTGGAAGAAAATTCTTTCTTCCTTAGAAGCCTCGTAAAATAAACGTCTTCTACTATGGCTAAAGCCATATACACCCTGGGAACTGTTCAGTTTACAGTACATGGGATGGAAGATTGCCTTGGGCACACACGTTATGTGATTTGCAAAGGCTGGAGGTATTACTTCTGCTGTTTCTCTTGCATCCTTCATATTTGTATTCATTTGGTATACAGTACATACACTGTTTTCCATTTATTCTCTTATTTTTGTTTCTCCTACTTAAAGTCCTTATGCTCAGTGCTGTCAGGGAGCTGTTTTAAATGAAAATGTGGAATAGTTTTAATGAATTAAAGCTGAAAGAATGTGAGCTTAATATTTTACATTTCAGACCTTTTCCTTGGTGAAAGTTAAGTGGGAAAAATTTTGGCTACAATCTTTCTAGCTTAAGCAGAAAGACTTTCCATAGTTCAGGTTTACATTCTCTGCTATGAACATTCAGTTTTCCTGAATCAAAATTGTTAAACTGAAATGAATAGCTCATGGCAATAATGATGAAGTATCAAGCCTTCATCTCTCATGTCTCTAGCTCTATTTTGCTAGTGATGATTTTGCCAGTTCTGTTGCAAGCACTGAACGAATCTCAGCAGCAAAGCTCAGTTTGGTTAATGGGTTTCTTGCAAGCATTTTCCTTATTGGTATTAAGAACAGATGTAAAGAATTCTTACATTTGCAATGTATGAACATAGATTTCATTGCTTCTGCAAAAACCTAGAAATGTTGCCACATTTTCCATCTGTATCAGGGCACCTTTTGTGCCTGCTGTAACATACATGGGGTGAGACAGATTGTTTTCAACTACTGAGGATGCTATTTGCCTGTCCCGCTTGCTTCAAAATCCTTTGGCAGTATGCCTGTGAAAGAGCTTCAGAGGATCGATGTCCTCAGGGCACTGCTGCCTTTAATGGAAAGGTTGTCGTATTCTTCAGCTGTCAGACTCTTGAGAGGGAAAGAGTGAGGTCTAAATCTCTCTCTTGCCCTCATGCCAGTAGTACCTATTGCAAATTATTTTAGTTTGAGATGTCTCCATTTGTTATGCCACAGCAAATTCTGCTTGACAGCATGCAGAGACAGTGGTAAGAGCTGAATGAAAGCCATTCTTCAACCTCAAATTTTATATTGGTTTAATTCTCAATTTAATCATGCCACTTTTTCCCTTGTAGAGTGCAATCACTATTTTAGCCCTATGTTCTCCCATGAATAATCTGAATAGAGATGCTCAAGTGCATTCGTTAGCCCTCTCAATGAGATCCACTGCATCCCCCATTTGGTGTTGTCCTCAAATGCCATAACAGTTTTTATACCTCCTTCTCCTTTAAAGACGATTGCCTGTTTTGCTTAAACACTTGGTGCATTCAGGATGTTTTTTTCATTATTGTGCTTTGGATTCAGTTTTATTCTTGATTTTTGTTTTAAGGTTGGGTTCTCAGTGGCTCTGAGTAGACTGGGTATTTACAAAAATATGTGAAAGTGACTCTACCTTCCAGTTAGTAATTTGTCCCTCTGTATGTAGTTGTTCCTAACTCACATTTCAATAGTTCTTTCAGTCATAAGGAGCTGCAGGACAAATATTTTTCCAAAATATATACATAAGGGATAGTCCTCTTCCTATTATTGGCCAGTCTAGGTCTGTTGCAGGAGACACCTATAAGAAGATCTCTTTCAAAAAAATCTACTTCCAATTCAATGGGGTTCTGTGTAGCCCAACCAACAGTGCTGAAAACTACTATTTAATAGGTGTAAGCTAAAACCACAAAGGATTTTTGAGTTTAGGCTTTATTTTCAGATTTGGATTGTTAATGTCCTTCACGGAAGTTTGAAAAAAATCTAACTGAACCTTGTGATTCCTGAAATAAATCAGTTTCAAATGACTACAGACCATGGACTGGAGCCCTGAAAATAAACCCTTAGGATTTTGCATCTCTTCTCATCAGTAGTATTGTTCCCTCTGAGTTCTTTACTGCTCTTTGGCAGCACTGGCAATGCTGTCTTTTCTCATCATCTTGAAGTGACTCCCACAACTTCATTGTTAATTTTCAGTAGTGGTGGTTCCTATGTGCCTCTGTAGCTTTAGAACTGCTAATTAAATAAAATCCAATTTTAGTTCAATGTACTTTTCATTCATGCATGTATTATCCTTATACGGCTATTTTAAAATTCTGTTTGTTGCAAGATAAAGTGCTAAGTAGATGTAATTTATGAACTTGAAATCTACAAAACCCAAGGCAACCATATCTCGGTGATTGTTCCAGGTAATTTCATTACCCAGTTAGCCTGGGATTTCTACCCTAGTTTGCTCATATGTATCCTCTTAGAAAGCTCCCTGCTGCCCAAGCTTAAGAATTTCATGAGTGGCACTGAACATTAACTTTGCTCAGTGCCAAGCTTTCATCTAGCAATATATCACTTCTATCAATCTATGGTAGTATTTTAGGAAATATAATTTTAATTTCTCCTGTCATAGTTTTGGAAAAAAATATTTGAATTGCTTATTTAGTGAGAAGGTTATTTGACTTGTGAGATCAACTGCTGACTCATGCATTATGCATGTGAGGTGACCACCTGCACCCTTCAGTTAGTTCTTGAAATATGTATTCCACTCTAGTTTAGAGTGGAATACATATTTCCTGATGCTCAGTCCAGATCTGAGCTATGTTTGCCAGAGTTTCACAGTGTGAGGGACTAAGGGGAAGGGACCTTTCATGGGTTTTTGAAGGTGTGGGGCAAAAAGGAAAACTTGTTTCTGATACTTGTATAAGGTTGAGTATTATAAATATTCAAAGTCACCTGAGCTTCAAAACACTTACTTCCTAAAACCTGATTACACTCTTGCTATTTTTGACTATTTCACTGAATTGAGTTGCCAGAAAATATGGTTTGATTCAGTTTTGATTCACTCTTGTTCACTTGTTCATCATCTTGTACTCATCTTTGTAGCTGTGTAGTTAAAGTACTACCCTAGAACAGACATGCATGACATCCCTAAACTAGAGGATGTATTGTTTCTGTAAACATGCTTTTTCAACCAAAGAACTTTGGCCAGATAATAATTGGGCATCTCTTAGGACGTCCTCAAGAGAATGAGTTGTCTATTCCTCAGCAGGATAATTTAGGCACCCAAGGTTCGAGAAGGCAGAGGTTTCCTTCTTGCTAGCTACCTTAGGCCTACTGTTTGCTCATTAGGCTAGATGGCTCTGAAACTCAGGCTTAGATTCCTCATTTGCAATTTGGAGGCTTGACACTGATCCTCATTTTGCACTGATCCATCACCTCTGATGCCTAGGGGAAGTTTCAAAAACACCCCTCCCAGCTGTTGTCCCATTAATCTCCTGGAGATTAGAGGTCCCATTGCAAATAAGGCTGAATGTGCTCCATGGCAACTCCTCAATCATACCAATCCATAGTTCTGCATGTTGATGTAAATCAAAGTAGCCATATTTAAAGGGTAGTTAGTATGTTAGGCTATAAACAAGAAACACTGGGGAGCTCTGCCATTGGAACAGACCTCCCACTCTGCTTTCTCTGCTAGAGGGCCTGTAACCTTGGCCAGAGATTGGACTGTGGAACAGCTGGAAGAGCTAACTTCTTAAATTAATGGAGTATGAATTGCCAAAAATTGTGTACCAGAGTCTTAAGCTCTACTGGTATCATGATATCATGCTGTTCTCCATAATGTAATATTAAGGGAAGAGTGCTGATTCCCATTTTCCAGCCTTCATGTTTCAGCAGAAGTTAACAATGTACAATACAAAATGTGAATGAAAGAAACTAGACTTAAGGATTTATTTTAGGATCTAAAGTATCTTTTTTAACCATGAACTTTCATATTTCTTCAGATTGCTAGAAAAACTAGATGTATATTGAAAAACCTCTTCTCGGAAAAGAAGACTTATTGTAGTTGAAGCTTGACTCTAATGTAATTTAGACTTTGTGAGTAGGACATGGAAAAATATTGTGTTAGTAAGAGCTAGTTCCACCATCGTGTTTTTAATAAGGGAAGTGAATGTTTGTTCTCTCCGAGTCGGGAAGGGGGTGTGGAGGAGTTGTGCAAGAGAAGCAAATCCCTGTGTACCCAGTGGTAGAGTACTAAACTTAGTTTTCACTCTTTTGAACATATTTTCTTTCAATTTATGATAAGGACAATCTAACACATTACACAGATATGAGAGAAACTGTGCAAGCTGTAGAATTCAGCTGATCCATAAGTAAGTACATTTCCTGCTACTGTTATTTAATCCAGCTTTGCAATTATAGTAATATAATATTTCAATTTTTTTTTTTTTACTGAGAAACAATATTTTTTAGTATTCTGAATTGAGGATGTAAAATCTGTATGGACTGACAAGTCACCTCTTTGACTGCAAAAACAATTCCGACTCATTACTAAAATACTGTTGCTTAAAGATAATGGTGTAATAGATACAAATTCATCCCATAATTCTTTTAACCTCAGTAAATGTGTTGCAAATGTTCAGTGTCTTTTGTGGTAACATAAAGCAGAAGTCTTAATTAGTCTAAACAAAACAAATACATAGGAGAGTTTTTAAGTATGTTTTCAATTTCAGAAAAATTTCTCATAAATTTGCCTTATTTCTTTTTCACATCTTGAATCAGATGCAAGCAAATGTGTTTGTATGTGTGTGTTATCCCCTAAGCACTGGGAGGGTTGTTATGTGAAAATTATCTTTTTAGTTTACATTCGTGCTGCTCTTTGGTCACATTTCAACCCGTTAGAAGGAAAAAAGAAGATAGGGGAAATAAAAGCACAACAGCTCTGCTCCAGACTTCAGTGGTACTGCAACCCTTAACAGAAAGCAGAGCTTAGTTGTGTGTATGGAATAAGTTCCATGTTTCTTATTTAAAAAACAAACAGGCAAACAAACAAAACTACCAAGATAACACAAAAGGTTAATTACCTATTATTTTTTTTCTTTCTTTCTTTTTTGAAGTCAGAAAAGCAGTTTCCAGCAAATGCATTCCTTGCCTTCTTCTTTGCCTTGAGTTGTTTCACTTCCCTAAATTCTCCTTAAATATTTTGGTTAAGGTCATCTTGCTTTTTGATTCATTGAATGTAGTGACGTTATTTCTGTTCAGAAGATAAGTAGTCAGGTTTCAAGTCACAGTAACTTTTGTTATGTTAAGTGCTGAAATATAAGAAAAGCCTGTTTTATGAAACCTCTGAGTTATTTTTCTGTCTGGAGCAACCTTGTGTACAGTTTGTGTTTCTTGCTAACAATAGGTTTTATTGGGCTGCTGAAAAAACAAATATGCTGAAACAGTGAGACAAAAGAAGATGCTCTTGTTTTATCATCTAAGAAAGCACATACATCATTTGGGGCTCATTAACCCACATCAGGTCATTTAAAGAAATTTCCTGTCCAACCTCCCACTTCATGTATTTTCAGTACCAGTTAACAATTTAGATCTGTGTTGGGCCTGCCAGAATCTCCCAAATACTTAAACTGCGATAGATACACTATCGACCACATAGGTATACCTTACAGCTTGGGGACTTATAGCAGTTTGAATAAAACCTGTTTTGGAGGAATAAGTGCCTGTCAGATTCAATCTATTTCAAGCAGATTCTGCCAGCTTTTGCTCATTCTAAGATCCATAATATTTTCTTCCATTTTTCTTACTGATTAGTTCTGTTGGAATAGTTATCATGGGAAAATAATCATACACTCACAGAATAGTTTGGGTTGGAAGGGACCTCAGAGACCATCCAGTCCCAACCTCCTGCCATGGGCAGGGCTGCCACCAGCTCAGGCTGCCCAGGGCCCCATCCAGCCTGGCCTTGAGCACCAGGGAATAGGGCATCACAGCTTCTCTAGGCAGCTGTGCCAGTGCCTCACCACCCTCTGAATAAATACTTCCTTCCTTATGTCTAATCTAAATCTTCTGCCTTTTAGCTTAGAGCAATTCCTCCTTGGCCTCACTGTGCTCCCTGATAGAGTCCCTCTTCAGCTTTCCTGTAGGCCGCTATGCTTCTACTGACACACTCAATCAAACCTTCTGAGTAAATCCAAGTGGGAATAGTTGAAAATTGAATGAAAGTGACTTCCTGTATCAGAGCTGAATTAATACCTTACTAGATTGTTTGATTGATTGATTTTATTGCATTTTTATCACCTAATCTTTAGGCTTTTTTTCTAGTTTACTTCACTATGTTTAATGACCAAATTTTAGCTTGCCTTTCTACTTAGAAGCAGAATTTGTCCTTTCTTCTTTTCAAATGTGAGAGTTTTATTCATTTTTAAGCTAGTTTACTAAGCACTTGAAGCCAAATTGGAACCTTTAGATGGTGGATTTCTACATTGTAGCAAAATAGCCTCATGCCTCAGGCTGACATAGTTTCTCAAATTGATGGTGGATCAAATTTTTGAATTTTTTAGTTATATCCACTGAAACCATGAAAAAATAAATTTTCATAATGTGTCATCTCAGAAAAGGAGAAATGTATGCTGGTTATTTTCATTTAATTTAAGGGTTTTGCTCATGACTTATAAAAATAGTATTTCATACCATTCAAAACAATGACACCAAGTGATTTTCTTCTGCATTGTTCCCCACCAAAAGATGTGTGTTCAGGGATACATTTTATCATTCTGGTGCTGAATTGCCCCTTCACATTCACCTTATCGGTGTCGGGGATTTTTTAATGACTCCTTAGCAGTAAGTGATAAAGTCCTTTGGAAATTAGTCTGCTGAGATAATCCCTCTGAGTTACGACCATTACAAACCCATGAGCTCAGATTTAACCATCTGCATTCTGCAAATAGAAATAAATGTTGTACTGATCTGCAAATCTGATCTTTTGGGGTTTTTTAACAATAGATTTTTCCACTGTTTATGGCATTACTGCTGCATGAGTGGTGAAGTCACTTGAAGTTCGTAAGTTGTGGGCATTTTGTACCTTTTCACTGCTCTGCCTTCAGAATCTGTGATGAGCAAGGCTGGACACTGTGACAGCAGTACCAAATGGTGGGAGAGCTTTGCATGTTCCAGAGCTTTCTTATGTGTTAATAATGGTGCTGTAGTTCCATTAGCTTATTCAAAAATACTTCTTACTCCATATGGTGCCCATTCCTACAGAACATCCAGCAAAAATAGTCAGAATTGGATTCTCTTGTCCATTTATTGGCATTTGCAAAGTTAACCACCATAACATTTTCCATGTTGTTCTACCTTTGGTTAGTTAAAACTGCAATCAATCATCTTGTACTTGTAACGTTTGTATAGAATACTTAAATACCAAAAAAAAGTATAAAGTGCAAAAGCACTTTATACAAATGGAAATCACTGTACTCTTCACTGGAATAAAGCTGTTTCAAGGTGAAATGGGAATCTGCTGCATAAGGACATTTTCTATAGAATGTTGGTCTGAAGAAGTAAGGAACTCACAAATGGCTGAATCTGTTGACATATGTGGGTCTAGTATTTTCATTTTGTCAGAAAGATCACGCTTCTGGCGTCAAGCTGAGTATGTAAGTTCAGGAGTGACTCAGAGATGTGAATCACATACAACACTCCCCAGGGTCCCCTGGGTCTTCCTTGGAGGTTTTGTGGCTGTGCTTCTTTTGTGAGCTTAAATAAGATCATTTAAGCCCCAGGCCATGTTACTCAGTTGTCATATTTTGCCACTTTGGGGATTATTTGGAAAACTCTTTATCATCAGTATCTTCAAGGTATGCAAAAATTTCTGCATGTAGTAAACCCTTTTATGTTCTATGTGTTATCTGTGTTATACAGGAAGGATTTCTCTCACTGTCACACATACACCTACACCCCTCAAAATTCGTAAATGATACATAGACCAGCAGTATCTGTTCAAAGGAAGAACTATAAATACCATTCCTGCATTACAGCACGCTGTAAGCCTTTCTTATTGTGTGATGCTGTTACGTCTCCACCTTTACCCCAGGTTGGAAATGTGCTGTGGTAAGGTTCCTGGGTAAGGCTGTGTGCAGTCTGAATAGTAACCAGCACACAGAAACTTGAACAAGAAAATTCATGAAAAATGAAAATATCCTGAATTTTTTTAAACACAGCAGCATTTAAAGAAAATAATAGATCTGTTTTCGGTAGAATAAAATTATGGCACAGTATCTTCTCTGACATTAAATCATAACAAACTCTTTTGTGCACCTTCTGGAAAGTATCATATTTTCATATGTTCTTAAATGTGAAAAACAGAGATCTGGAAACTTTGACGATAGTACAAAGCTACCATCTCCATGTGTCTTTTTCTGCTCTTTAGCAGGCTAGTTCAATGCCCACTAGAGTAAATGGAAAGATTTCTGTTTATTGCAGTGGATTCATCCTTCCATATGTTGCGCAATGACTTATTTCATTGTCACTCTCCTTCACTAGTCATTATTTTTACCCTTCTGTATGTGTAGATAAAGAAGTTCCTAACGCTAATGATTCATTCTGTTTGGTGCTACTAAGTGATTCTTGGTTTTGCTTTATTATCACATGAAGCTAGTGTTGGCAGGAGTGAACAAGAAAGACAAGGCAGAAAATTAATGGCTCTCTTGCAATGAAAAGAGATATTTTGAACAGAATCGGAATCAGAGCTTTAGTTGTACACATGCAGTCAGCTTATTGTTCATGAAAAGGTATATTTTTTAAGAATCTTCTCTCTGTTTAATTTACAGTTCTAAGCATTGTTTTATTCATTAGCTTATTTTCATCTTTATAATTTGTTTTCTTTGCTGTTACATTCTCGACCATTTCAAGGCACTTTCCTTCCACAACTCCTTTACCCAGTTTATTTCCCATAATGACAACAAAAATTTGAAAAAATATTCTTATCTTGTAGCAAGGTAAGGGCCAAAATCTGTCTTTTGGTACTAACATGCAGTCATCTTTTTAGTGGGATTTGCAGTTACATTACTGAAGTTAGAAATATGGCCTGTGCATCACAGTCCTCCCCTCTGTGTAATTACTGTAAGTCACTGTTTCAAAGCATAATAATGTTTTATGTATGTTTCAAAATTAAAGGAAAAATTTTATTAATTATCTTCTAGTGTTTACACACACAGCCTTTCTTGAGATCCTCTGAAGACCGATGGCTTATCTTTCATTGCATCATATGCTTCGCACTTGGTTTCTAATACATTACGTGAAAAAACCTTTTGAGTTGTGCCTTCTTGTCCTTTTGTTATATCAGAGATTTTGCCAAGGGAGGGAAAAAAAAAATACTCTAATGTGCATTCAACCACTCCTGTGGAAGGGTCCCACTCCACTCACTCATCCCAACTGCTGCTCCAAATGTCATCAGGGCTTTGCTGATTCCTCTGAGGCAAAGTCAAAGGAGAGCTTATGTGGCCATTGGGACAGATAAGTTGTGCGAGTGGGATTGTCCGTAAGAGTGTTTTGTTTAATTCCTGGCTTCTTGGCCCTTGCAATATGCATGCCCAAGAAGAGAGTACTGAGAATACCACAGTGAAAGGCATATTTTCATTAGTTGCTCATAACTTTGTGTCGTGGTTCTGAGGAGCAAAAGGTTCAATGGTAGCTAGTGAGAATCACAAAAAAACCTTTCAGTCAGCTTATCCAGCTATTACATCATCACTAAAAAATTGGACCTGATCATCAGAAAGTACCTTATTACTTATTACTGGAGAGACCAATCTCTGCAAGAAGCAGAGCCAAAAAAAACATATTAGGTGATATGACAATAACATTATTTTTCACCTCTCCAATTATTTCATACCAATGTGTTTTTGCTGTATGTTTAAGAATGTTCAATCTAGATTCTGGGTTTAAGTTTTCAAGGTGAGATCCCAGAAGGCCTATTGGTTTTCATAGCCACTACTGACTTGAAAACCTAACAGAACATTGGTTTGCTTTTTGATTTATTAGGAAGCAGGCTTAACTGAACTTGCTGGCTGGAATCTATATAAGTCCTGCTGGATTTCTGCTTTGCACCTGCAGAAGCAGATTTAAAGCTACTGCCCTCTGTGGATACTATACACTCTGCATTAGCAGTATGAGAGAACTGTTGATAAATTAAGAAAATTGCATTGGAAATGTACTTTGCTGTAAGCCTGCCCTGCTGGGGTTGGAGGCAACGTTCCTTGTGAGACTTATGGGACAGCTCTAAATCCAATACTTTGGGCAATATCTTTCTTAGTGTGCTGGGATATATCCCTAGAAATAATGTACAGATAAATGCAAGTTATTTATTGCTTAGAAACTGTCATAACTTTTTATTGTTTTATTTATTACAGCCAAAAAAAAAGACTGATCTGGAGAAGAGTGGAAAAACAATGACAATATATCTTTCTTGCATAAGACAAAGGTAAGATTTAGAGGACTGTAATATTGCAAGTACTTATTTATAGCATAATAATAACTATGAGGTAATTTTTTAAGTTCCCAAATGCTGGCAGCTTTTTATTTAAACTTCTCCAGATCTTCACAGTCTTGGCTGCCTAAGAGCTGGTGCTTTAAAATTCTGAGTCCTTTCCAATTCACTCATACAATGAGTCCACTGCAAGGTGCTATGTGTGCCACTGTACTGACCTGTTCTGCACTAGAGCAGCAAAGGTTACATTTCATTTTGTAGCAGCATGTTAGAAATGCAAGCATTTCAGGTTCCTCAATTTATGTTATCTCTGTTTTGGGTTTGTTGAAGAGAGGATTCTTTATTTATTTGTTTGTTTATTTCACACTGTCCCTCAGAACCTATAGCTATAAGTGCCCCAGTTTTCCCCGGGGCTTCTTTTTTTCCTCTTTCTATGGTCACAGGCACCCAGTTGTGAATGAAATAATGCTCCTCCCATATATTCATTGTTTCAAGCACTGGTGTCTGTACAAGTTCCTAATCAGGTTATTTTTGACCTTTGAGAAGTTTGCAAATGAAGAATCTGTGTTCATTATCCTCGAAACAGATAGACTTGCTAGCCACTGCCCTTATCAAATGCCTCTAGGAAACAGTAAAGCATGCTTGTTCCAAAACCGGCGTCAGAACGCAGGGCTGTTCAAGAGCATGCAAACGTTAGGCAGCCAGGCTCTTGCCAGCCCTTCCCAGAAGGGTGCTATGCCAGATGGAGAGAGGTCCTGAAAAAGGGAGTAGTCAGACTGAGAGGGAAGCAAGCTTCACAACAGAGGAAACAATGAAGGATAGAGAGATCATTTCAGCCACTGAGCTGGCGCAGGCAGGAAAACCCTGTCTGATGGTTTTAGTGTCTTCATGTCTGAGGTGAGGGTTTGGTGATGTGCACACTGACTGCCAGGGTAATGGCCCCCAGTTCTGCTCCTTTTCTGTGACTGCTCAGGTAGCAGTATGACAGGGAAGGCAGTCAGATGACAGAACTGACTCACCTGAAGGCCAATCTTTTTGCCATTTAGTGATATGATTTTGGCAAGCAGGGCTAATGCTTGATCCTTCACCAGACTCACCTTAACCACAGTCCTCGAAAGCTTGCAATTAGCCATGGCTAAAGGAATGTGAAACTATAGCTGATGTGAGCAAAATGTTTCCATAATATAAACAAAACAAAGATCTTTTACCATCATTGGAACTTTCTCCTGAGCAGAGTCACTGTGACATCCTGCATTTTGATAGCTGCTCAAGTCTGATGAGGAAGGAGATACGAAGCATATGGTTCTTGTCAAATGAAGAAGATGAATAAAGAATTTAAATTGACATAGATGCAGGTAGTTACACTTCAGTTGCCTGAAGACAAGACAGATTAGTTTGTGCTAATTTATAGGTGATTTTAATAGTAACTCCATTTAGAAAAATAACGAAGAGTTGAATGAACAAATTAAAAAGCCTAAAAAAACTATCTCCAGAGCTGAAAATTCTGTTAAAATACTACAAATATTCTCAGAAAATATCCTGACAACTTAGAGTATTCAGTGGAGATGAACACCTACCCATTTGAACTATCCATTGCATCTGGGGCTGGAATTGTAAAAATTCTTCTAGTCAATCAATTAACTTGGTGAGATACAGTTCTTTTAAATTTGATAGAGTGATAGAGT